TTGTGGCTTTTGTCAGTGCTGCATAAAGGTAGGTGTATTGTAATTGATCTCCAGACCAGAAAGGAAATGTTAATACGTAGCTAGTAACAGAAAAGTCAAAATAAAGACCCGCAGGATAACAGAAAATTTTTTGTTCACCCAGGGAAAGATTTACAACTTCCTCAGCCAGCTGAGAACACAACATTATTACATTGTCAAATTTTAGTAATTTTGCACTGATGTGTAGGAAATCAACTGCAAATCACCAGATAGCCTGATAAGTTCATTTGGGCCCAGATCCACTAAATGACTTGGAACATTTTTAGATGCCCTGAGTATAAAATTGCTGTTCTCAAGGCTCCTATTTAGCTCCCCTCTAGCGCTGGCAGTGAGTCAAAATGATAGGTGCCTATGATTTTGCTGATATTCCTACTGCTTCTTACATGCTTAGAAGTGCTTTACCCTTGATAGAACCAAGTCCCTATCTCATGCCCAAACCCCATCATTATCCAAACAAATCAGAAATCTCTTTGCCTCTGTGGCCTTTGGTGCTTGTTCCGGTTAATTTTCTCTAGGCGTGGATTGTGTGCCGCACAAAAGCTGCTGGCAGCAAGAGGCATTTTATTTCAGACCACAGCTTCCATGGATGGCATGGATCACTGGCAATATTTGCTCTCCAGCCAGTAGGCTGGTGGTCGCAGCATGCCTCCGGGCTATGGATGTCCCCAGCCCTGTGCCTCCTCTGTCTGGAGCATTGGACCTGCTCTCTGCAGCCAGGAGTGAGGGAAGCTGGGCTCACTGTTGGATCTCGTGCAGTTTGCAGTGAGAAAGCATGCTCTGTGGGCACTCACTTACATGTGATAACCTGTATTTCGGTCCCAAGGACTGAAGGACTCCAAGGACAGCTCATACTATTTTATCTGGCGCTGTTTCATGCAAATAACCTTTGCATATACCTCCAGTGTTGTCCTTGGTCCCCAGTCTATCCAGAGTTATCCTCCATCATTGCTCATTCTCTTCTGGCCCAATACATCTGCTTTCATACAAATCAGGATGAAGGTGAAGATCAGACCTTTGTCCTCCAATCTGACTGGTGACTATGGTACTGCTCTGGGAGGTGTGGGTTTGAAGCTGCTTCTACTCCCAGGTTTCCAGCTCTCTGGGTGAATGCTGTAACCATGGACCCTGGGATAAAAGGGGACACCTGGGTACCTGTGTGGTCACGATACATTGCTGCAAGTCCTGGGTGGACAGAGACGATTCCCAACTTTACTAAAGCCAGACAGGTGTCAGATTTAGGGTGTGCCTTTCTTCAGTTGTGGTGGGCTGTTGTCTTGGGTGAATGCCTTTCTAGAGTGACTGCACTGTACAGGGAGCTTAGGGTTCAGCCACAGAGCTGTGAATTTCGTTGCATGAACAAGATGCTTAAAAGTTAGGAAACAGAGTGCTCAGATGCCAGCAATGAAACCCTCAATATATCTAAGCCTTTGTAACACAGTGAAACAAAAGAAAGAACAATCTGAGGTATGACATTTAAGCACATTAGTGCATATCATCCTGGGTCAGACCCTTGGATGGTAGAGCCTGATGTAACTCCTTTGATACCAGCATAGTGAAAAACAATTAAGGGCAGTGTGGGATGGGGCTCTGTCCCACAAAGCTTGTCAGAGTAATGAAATCCCAAACGTCAGGTATCCCCTTTGCTTGTGTTGTCTTGGCTGAGAAAGAGACGATGGTTCATTTCTGGGGGAAAATAGTGAATTTGTAGGTGAGCGAGCGATAAGATAGCATGAAGATAGTAAATTCCAGTAAATCAGAAAACACAGCCAAATGGGAGTGTAAATGGGCGCTGTGTACTTGTTTAGTGGTAAGGCTTTTAACCATTTCAAAACTGTAAATACAGTTGCCCCATGTTTTGTGTGAAATAGAAGTAACTATAAACAGAAGGGCAGTGCAAAATCCATAATTGTGCCTCTGTAGGACTTCACAGGGATGGAAACATCCACTAGCACAGGATCGGGGCCATAATGTGCAAAATTCGCCTTCCAGGAAGCCGCTTTCCCCCTCCCTCCCTCAGGATAACAGATTCACTCAGTAATGTCTGTCTGACATTTACTGTCTTGGATCCCACACTTCTGCCTCTGTGACAGAAAATGCATGATGTGGTAGCAGACTCACATTAATGCAGCTCTCAAGTCCAAACAGAGCCTGATGTCTTCTTTTGTAAAAGCAGGTTATAATTTTTGTTACCCACCCCTTAATTTTCAACCTATGAACGTTTTTTTCCCGTAATTCTATTGTATCAGCTATTATAGAGATCGGATGATTTGCATGATCTGTCAGGCTTAACTGAACAGATTCAAGTCTGCAGGTCACATTTATTAGCAGAAGCAATACTCCCTGAGGTATGTGTTTGCTTAATTTTTCATCTTTAAATAGACAGGACTGCCAAAAAATTGAACGTAGTTGTCTAAGAGGGAGAGAGGAGTCAGTAAAGGCATTGATGAAGTAGCAGTCGTTTCAAAATAGCTCCTCGTGTATGGATATTTAATTATTGGAGATAGTGTGATATTTCTGATGAAGTTTTGTGAAGAAATGTGCATTATTTTCCAAACAAACCCCTCCTTAGCTTTCTGTGGTAATCTAACCCCTAGGTTTCCGGTGTCTGAGAATTAATCACTTTAAACAGTTTTAGTTTTCCCCTAAACAGCACTGTTGGTAGAAAAAAAAGGGCACTTTCTAGTTACGGGAAACACGACAGAGTCAGGTCTGGACCTGCAGCGATTCCAGCTTGGCCCTGTGGCTTCTGATCCTTGGGTCTTGGCTTTCTCTGCCCCCAGTTCCCGATCCGCTGCTGTGTCAGGAGCCAACAGGAGGGGTAACGTGTAGCCGAAGCGGGGATCACAGCTGGACATGACCGAGCTGCAGAAAAGCAGGGAGCAGGCGGGATGTGAGGAGAAGCATTTCCTTCTTGTGATATCAGAGCAGTCATCTAGGGTTTCCTTCAGGCAAAAATACTGTGTTAGATCAGTAGTAGGTCCTACTATATATAACAGGATTTTTCAGAAGTCTGTTATATGCTAATAAAGTGGCTCTGTATTACTAAGGAAACTGTATGCTTTCGTATCGAATTGAGTCAGGGAAACAATAAGGTAAAATTTGTCACAACGGTTTTCTAAGAATGGAGCGATTTACATAACGTAGAGACGTTACTGGCTGCAGTCTCACTGTAACGATGTTCTTCCTCAGCAATAACAGGATGACCGCAGATGAAAAGCAGCCACCCCTTAAGGTGATTCTGCTACCAGCTTACAACAGTTGGCCTTGCTCTGCTGTTAGACACGTAGCAAAACCAGTACAAAATCAGCAAAAATCCAGTACAACTGGAGTGTGTGATGTTGGTGAGGGCCACGAGCCAAGCACATCCCAGCTCTGCGCTGGCCGGGGCCCTGCTGCAGGCAGCATGAGCCCAGGGCCACAGGCAGCTCCCCGTGGGCAGCGGGCACTGCCCTGCAGGCAGGAGGCCATCCTCTCATTTTGCCATAGTCTAAATTTATAGAAAGCAGTGTGTGACAGAGACTCCATGGAAAGGGAACATTCAGGCTGAAATTACGGAATGCTATGTGGTTCATTTCCTAGTACCTCCTTTTTGTCTGAAAGAATTACCACTGGGCAAAGCGTTAAGGCATCAAGTGTTTTGAAATGCTAGAGACACAATACGCGTCATGCTTGAGAAATGTGTGAGAGCGTTAGAGTCTCAGATACCATTAGTTCATTTTAGTATGTATGAATAATTTGTCAGACAAGCCTTGTTCAGATAGGCTGAGGAGGTTTACTGAAGAGGTCTTCATGCCACAATGGATTTTCTGAGAAAAAGAAAGAAAACCCTTCTCCAACCAACTTCCGCCCCCCCCCGAACCAGAATACTATTGAAATCCTAACAAAATGCTAGGGAGGAAAAGCTGCTTACCACAGCTTTACCTAACCAAAATAAGACATTTTTTAATGCAAATTGCAGATGTTTCCACAAGGCGATCCCAGTTAGTCCAGCTCAGTTTCTAAGTGAAGGACATGGTTATTTCTGAAATGTGCGAGTCTGAAGTTAGACACAATCAAATCTCAACTGCTCTAACATACAAAAGAAAGAAAACAACGCAGTTCCAGTAGCAGACGTGCAGAGTATGCAGGTAGTTTCTGATATGCTGAAGGGAGATTAGTCCAATATTTTCATCAAAATATTATGAACCCATCACTGAGTGGAAAGTTTTCTGTTACCTGTGGCTTGTGACACATGAGTTTAAAGATGTTTGCCTTTAGAAAAAGAAGTTCTGTTAATTGTCTTGCACTATGCAAATGGATCTTCTTTGTAAATTAACATTAAGATCCTGTGAGTGTATTCTTTGTCACTGAATTACAGATCTGTCCTCTGATAAAAGGAGAGTGCTGCAGGAAAAGAAAAAAGTGTCAGTTAGCTCATGCTGGTCTTGTACAATGGTTTCCTTGTTTGATAAAAGCTAAAATAAAGCAATGAATCCTGAAAAGTGTTTGCTGACATAAAATGCCACTGGTATATGGCTGACTGGGGGTGCTCCTTTTGGTTTTGATGAAATCCAGAGGCAATAGTACACGTGTGCATATTGGGCTTGGTTTTGATGAAATCCAGAGGCAATAGTACACGTGTGCATATTGGGCTTGCTGTAGATAAAACGATGTGTCAGATTCGGCACGAAAAGGAATCTTGCTTTGTAACAATGATGATGGCCATGTTTCCCATGACTTTACTATATGGCCAGATTTTTAATTCTGGGCTCTGTGTATAACAAAACAATTGTAGAGAAATTCCCCAGGAAATTTTAGTTTCTTGTACTGTCGGACAAATAAAGTGCATCATTATATCATTCTAATTACAGGTAGCTACAAAATTGTAAAATATCAGTATTTTTGCTATTTTTGCTGTTGCTTGTATCAATATATAATGTGAATTAACCTTTACTTGACTTTTACGTCATATTTATCCACAGATCCGCCATTGGGAAGCTGGGAGCAGAGGTATTTGAGTCTGTGTACAGCTATCTCAAGCAAGCGAGACAGCAGAATGCCAGTGAGGAGGATATCAAGAGACACCTGGAGAAACTGGTTTCTAGAGCAAGCGATTGCTTTGAAGTGGATCAGCTTCTCTACTTTGAGGAGCAGCTACAGGTTTCAGAAGCACATCTTCAGCTGTAAAATGTGTGTCGGTAACAGGATGGGAAACAGCAAGGAGGAGGGAAAGTGGCCTTCGTCAGGCCAGCAAGGAATAATGGGAGGTATTTGGAGGAAACTACTGAAGGTAACGTAGTACATAAGCATGTAGGTAAATTCCATTTAAGATTCCAGACAGCGGTGAGAAGTGGGTAAATACGGTACAGATGACAGGGGCAGGAAGAACAACAAATGTTTGTGTCATTGGAGGGGAAGATTCACCGTTACCAGCATCCCTTTTTCACCATTTAGGGCATAAAGAAAGGTGTTCTCCTGGGCTTTGGCCAGGTGTCAGTCCTGCACTCAGAGCATCGCTGGCAAAGCTGCCTCTGATGGTAGTGGTGCATGATTAGACTCCAGCTGCTGTCGATTCCTGCGCTAACTGGTCCTCATGACATTTAAGCCCTTATTTTTTGTACTTTGGCAGATTTACCCTTGAACATACGTATATACGTACAGCTTCTCAGCCACTAATTGTCTTGTTATTATTCATTGTTCAACAGGACTGCATTTAATCTGCATGACTTTCAAAGGAACTGTGAAAATACATGCCTATGTGTATACTTATATACATATATGCATGCTCCCATTCACAGAGATTGGAATGTATATCCAGAGAGGCAGAAAGATGTCTGGCCGTACACTGTACATGTGTGCATGTACAGAGACAGAGACTTCAGGCCTGAGCTATAGCTGACTATGTTAGCTAGGAATCCTTACTGCGAGTTCTGAGAGTTTGGGGTTGAATTCATTGTACACGGATGGAACAATAAACTGGGGTTTTTTTGGCTTGCACAAGGTTACCGTTAATGTTTTTTCTTAGTGTTTATGCCCTCTTCTTCATATGCATCATACTTTTGCTGATTTCAACTGTGTATCGTGCTCTGATTATATACCTGATATTTTCCTTCTACCTCTTCCTTCTTTATTCTGCATTTTGAGCTCCTTCATCCATCTGTGTAAAACACTGAAGGATAACAAAGTGGTACAATCTATAGAGGAATCTCAAATGAATTGTGGACCAAATTTATTTTAAGCATTGAGTCAATACCATAATGTTTCCTGCTTTGTGCCACAACTCTTAAAGGACTCAGGTTGAATTAAATAAATTCATAATACGAATGTCAAAAAACATTGCTATTTGACCTGAGGTGAGTTATTTACAGCTAAGGATGCTGGTATTGATAGTAAATTAAGCAGTGCTACTAATCCATCTTCGTGACATGCTTTAACAGATGCAAAAGCAAAGGCAAGTAGGGTCATCTTCATCTGTCAGCAGCAACACAAACTGAGGAAGCAAAGGACATGCCCAGCTACAGAAGATGTGGCATTGTACTTCCAACTCAAAGTAATAGGAGAATCTGGAATGTCTGATTTCAGGTTTTATTTGGAATACACAGTGTTACAAACCAGAGGCTAAAATCCTCTCTGATGTTCACTGAAATAGGAAAACATCAGTTTTTCTCTTCTGTGTGGTGGTTCAGATCCTATAGGTGGAGAGACAGTTTGAAGCAGAGTCTCAAACAGGTTTCCGTCTCTTCCCTGTTATTTCTTCTTGTACTTACACTCCCTGTCCTTCTGAATGTTGTGTCTGTGTACCTGCTTCCATATTTTTTGTGCACAACTTTATTTCAGGCCATTTCAAAACAGAAGCACCAGAGTTCAAGATATAGGAGGAGTGCTTGGATGTTGCAGGGACTAAAAAATTGCCACAGCAAACAACAAGTAACTAGCACATGATGAGAATAATGTCAGAGGGAGATGATCTTGACTACTGCACTTACCTCTGGCTGTGATTCAGAGTGCTTTATCACAAAAACTTCAAAAACAGCCTGTGTAAGCAATCAATTCCTTTTTATTAATGAGGAACACCTCATCAGACTTTTTTCCTGCAGCATGCAAGAGAAAAGAGCTGCATAGGGATGGGTCAGGCTCTTTAAGGTATTCAAGCACTAGGGAGATAATTAAAGGGCAACCCTTAAAGCCTGGAAAACACAGTTTAGCCATGCAGATTACCTTCAGGGAAATGGTTGCTGTCTGAGGAGCAGTATTTTGGCTTGTTGCACACGAAAAAGAAATCACAGCTCCTTTTATAGGTACTTCAGTTGATTTATTCTCTCTGCGGGATATGACCTTCAAATCATGTGGGGATCTGGAGGTTACTGCTTTACTGGTTATATGCCTTAAATTAGTTTTAGTTTTGTTTTTTCCATCAATCATACCACAATTAGGCAATGTGACATACGTATTAAAGTCAGAAGGAAAATGTTTGTCTGTGCTAGGTTGCATTATATGCCTTTTTCTCTATTCTCCTTTTCCAGTAAAACCCTACCTTCAAATCTCGTCCCTTCCAAAATTCTCAGCAATTTGCTGGGTTTGAAATTGCATCATCCAGACCAGGACTGGCTCTTATTTTAGAGACAATGAGGTCTGTCCCCACCAGAACATGATAAAACCCAATGAATTTGTCTCCTGTCATTCTGCCTTCCATACCCCAGGAGAGGGTTCGCATCAGGAGTTCAACTCAATTCTGCAGCTCACTAAAACCTGTTCCACAACTGGCTTTTGGTTTATTTTTACAGGTTTTTATAGGCCTTCAGGTATCCTTCGGAACTTATGCAGCTGCACAGTAAGTAGCCTTCAGCGGGGATTTTGTGTGCTATCCCCAGGCTTGCAGAGACGGGCGTGTGGGTCTATAGAAAAAAGGTTACAAGGTCTTTTGTCAGACAATTGCCATATTTTTCTGTTTTCCAACATATAACAACTAAATATTCTCATCATGTTAGTATTATCTTGATAAGGTGTAATACACTGCTCTTTATTTTTGTGTGATATGGTTATCACAAACCTTAGTTGCATTATGCATGTGTGCACAAACACACACACATCTCCTATCGAATCTTCTCTTCAGGTCGCCACCAGCTAAAACTGATTAAAGCCTTCACTGATCCTAATTATTTCAGACCAAGTAGATCAATGAAGATTTTATAAAAACGCATATAGACACACGAATCAAAAATTGTGACAGAGAACAGCTTGTGCTGGGGTAGAGCGGCTGGGGGGGCACACACACACATCTCCTATCGAATCTTCTCTTCAGGTCGCCACCAGCTAAAACTGATTAAAGCCTTCACTGATCCTAATTATTTCAGACCAAGTAGATCAATGAAGATTTTATAAAAACGCATATAGACACACGAATCAAAAATTGTGACAGAGAACAGCTTGTGCTGGGGTAGAGCGGCTGGTGCCATAGTGCCTGATGGCCTGTCTCTGCTGAGCTGAGGGAAGCTGCTTTTGGCGCAGTGGTGTGAGTGTTAGAGGTAACAGTGTTTACTGAGATGCCACGCTGATAATCTCTACGTATGGTTGTCGGATTAATTATATTTCTGTAATCAAGTTTAGTATAAAAAGAAAGCAGTAAATTTTGAGTTAATAAAAAAAGTACAGTACTGAATCCTTAGAGATCAGCAGGTCCTTAGAAAAGCAAAAAGTCTCAAGAAAGCAGGATGTGACAAAACAGTCACTGCATCATAAAGTCTATTAAGCAATGTCTGAGCCCAGCCAGGCTTTTAACAGGCCTTACTCTTCCATGAACAGGTCAATCTACAGAGAGAAGTGCAGAGTCCTCTGCTAACCTAATAAGGCCTTGATGGAAGGAGAGAAACAGATCCAATTCATTACATTGTCTATTAGACAAATACAGTGACTTGCCATAAAAAAAAAAATCTCTTCTTAACAGATCAGATCTTGTATAAGATACTTTTTAATTTTCAGGTCTGTTCTTCTTGCTGGGGAAAAAGGGCTTAAGATGAAGAAAAGACTTGAGTTCCTGTCTTTTATGTATATGAAATACATTTCATATATGAAAACGTGTATGAAATACAAGCAAGTTCATTTCCAGCAAAATCGCCTTGCCAGTGGTCATTAGTAGAAATCTAAAAGGAAGGAGGGGAATTCTTAGTATTATGGATCTTCAATAATAAAAAAGCAAGAGAGCTGCTGGAAGTAAATGTGAGGAAATAAATGTAAAGATGTTGGATTGCTGTGGATGGGGCTTCATAAAAGGTCCCATTTAACCTACATATTTGTACCAAAAGCTTCACAAGCATCAGACAACCTTGCTGCTTTTTTATTGACTCTCCTAAAAGTGCTACAAGCTGTATTACTTGATGCAGAGATATTGCAAACAAAGGAATTGAGGTGAGTAATTATTTAATGCTTTGGGGCCTTGAACCTGATAAAAAAGTGCTTGAACTATAAAGGGAAAAAGAACATTTGATTTTTTTGGTAAGAAGCAGAGCTGTCAATGTCTTATCTCAGCTGCATTAGGAGGCAGACCAATTATATTTGTCACAGCAAACAAGAAGTAAATCCTTTCTTAGAAATGACTGGCCTGCCAGATAATCCCTGGAAGACATCAGAGTCCTCTCTATATAAAATGAATTATTAGAGTGTTACAGTGTCTGACAATCCTGCCTGCAGGGAAGGACCATCCTTTCTACACGACCTGGCTCTGTGGGTGCTGCCTTGTGGTGACCAGCTCTGAGATGTCCTTGGGACCAGACCACAAACCTGCAGCTGGCATGGCCAGAGCTGGCTCTCCACTGCTGGCTCTCCAGGTCCACACCTAGCTGGGGGGATAGAGCATCGACAGATACAGAGGTAAAAAAAAGGCAGGAGGCAGCAAAGTAGGCTTACGGATAACTCTAAGACTGGCCTTTCAGTGCACTATAGGTGCAACCAGTGTGATCTGAAGGGATTTACTGGGCAAGAGAAGACAGGCTCAAACAGGAGGTTCATTTGGAGACAGGAGCAACAGGCACACAGGCATACTCGATTTCATATTTTGTTTGTAATATACGTTCACAACACATCGTAAACTGAAAACCCTTTAGTCTGTCTCCTCTGAAAACTTGTGTTTTTCAGCAGTGAGATGTCCAGCAGAAAGTCTTCTGCATATGATTATCTGTAGTAAGTAGAAC